ATACTATAGGAAAATTTATATAAAATATATTCAATGAAATACTAGTAAGTTGAATCCAGCAGCATATTAAAAAGATCAACACCAAGATGAAGTGGAATTTCAGGAATGTAAGGGTGGTCTGGCATCTGAACATCAATTAGTAACAAAACCATTCCAACTGATACAGAAAAATGTTTTGCCAACATTCAAAAAAATCAATTCCTCAGGGGTCAGCAGGTGGCATAGTGGTTAAGGTACTGGAGTTAACATGGTGACTGAGTGGTTTAAGCCCTGGACCTGATGGCTTGAAATGCATGCCAGGCATCTGTGCATGTGTGCCCCAAATCCCAAGAAGAGAATGGAGGAAAAGGAATTGTGATGTGGGGAAGGGTGATTTCTCACTCCACCCCCCTCTCTGTCTCTCTCCAGTGAGTTCACATGCCCTATAACAAAAAAACTAAAAAATAAACAAAAAAGAAGTCCTTATTCATCATATTAAGAATATAAGGGCAGGGGCCAGCAGATGGTGTAGTAGTTGAGGTGCTGGATTCCCACATGACAGCTGTAGTTTTGTGTCCTGGGTCCAAGCGGCTTGAAAATCATGCTGGGTGCGTGTGCATGCATGCCCAAAATCCTGATAGGAAAATGAAATGAAAGAGATTGTGGCATGGCCATCCCCCCTCCCCTCCACCCGGGGATGATTTCTCACTCTCCATGTCACTGTCTTTCTCTGGCAAGCACACGCATCCTATGACAAAAAAACCTCCATCTATATATCTTTAGAAATACAGATATCTATATTTCAGTGTGTGTGTGTGTGTGTGTGTGTGTATGTATGTATCTATGTATGTGTGTATGTATGTGTATATATATAGGAAGTTCCTCAACATGCTAATAGACTATAATCAAAACCCATTACTGGGACCAGCAGTTAGTGTAATGGCTATGTCGCTGGACTCCCATGTAGTCGACCACAGTTTGAATCCCGGACCCAGTGACATAAACTCACCCCAGGCTCATGTGCATGTGTGCCCAAGATCCCGAGAGGAGAATAGAGGAGAACAGATTGCAGTGTGGCCATCCCCCCTGGGGGGAGATTTCTCGCTTTCTGTCTCTCTGTCTCTCTTTGTGTTTTCGGTGAGCGCATGTGCCCTAATAGCAAAAACCTCTCCAAAACAAAACAAAACAAAATTGCTAACATCATACTCAGTAATGAAGGACTGAAAGCTTTCCTTCTATAATAAGGAACAAACAGTTTTCACCATGACTTTTTGATATTATACTGGAAGTTCAAGCCAGAGCAATTAGGCAAAATAATAATAGTAATAATAAAGGAATTACAAATGGAAAGGAACTATCTCTAGTCTCACTTGAAATGATGCTCTATGTACAAAATCCTAAAGAATTTAAATAAGCTATTAGAGCTAATCAAGTTTAGCAGAGTTTCAAGATTTATGATCAGTACACAAAGATTAGTTGTATTTTTATTGTTTTTCTTTTCTTTTTTTTAGAGAGAGAATTTTGCTTTAAGGTGCATACGCTCACTAGAGAGAGAAAGAAAGTGAGAAATCAGCCCCCTCTCCCAGGGGAGATGGTCACACCTCGATCCCTTCTCCATTTTCCTTTTGGGATTTTGGACACACATGCACGTGCACCCAGTATGAGTTTCAAGCCATCAGGTCCAAGACTTGGACCATGGTTGACTACGTGAGAGTCCAGTGACATAACCATGACATCATCTGGTGGTCCCAGATCAGTTGTATTTCTTACAGAGGAATGAACAATCCCAAAAGGACTTTAAGAAAACAGGGTTTACATGCCAGGTATGTATACATGCATTCCCAAAATCCTGAGAGGAAAATGGAGGAAGAGGATTACAGCATGGCCATCCTCTAGGGGTATGCTTTCTCTCGCCCCTCCTCCAGTCTCTCTCTGGTGATCACAACACCCTATGGGAAAAAAAAATTTTTTTAAATATTTGAGTTTGTAGATTATTTTGGTAGTAATATTGTAGAGCTTTTAATTAAATTCTTTGTTTTTATGTATATCATATCCAAGCTAAAAACTACATTTCTAATATAGGAACAGAATTACTTATTTGCTTTATTCTACTAAAAATAATTTTTTGTTTGTGATAAAGCATATGTGCTCACTGGAGAGAAAGAGGGATTTATTCTACTAAAAATTTTTTTGTGTGTGTGATAAAGCACATGTGCACCCTGGAGAGAAAGAGGATGAGAGAAAGAGAGAGAGAGAGAGGGAAAGAAATTACTTCCTAGGGGGGATGGCCATGCTGCATTCCCTTCTCCATTCTCCTCCTAGGATTTTGAGCATGCATGTACAGTGCCCGGCATGTTTCTCAAGCTGTAGGGTCTGAGACTCAAACTGTGAAGTCGAGCATGTGGAATGAAGCTGCCTTAACCACCACACCACTGTGATGATTTTGTACTTACTCATTTTCATCTGTGTAGCTTTCTAGGATACCTTTGTCTTTGTTGATCATTTTTGCACTCTGACATAGTAGTAACTCATTGTTTTTTTTTTTTTTTTTTTTTTTTTTGAGAGTTTTTTGCTATAGGGTGTGTGCACTTGCCAGACAGAGAGACAGACAGAAAGCGAGAAATCACCCCCCAGAGGGGATGACCATGCCACAATCCCTTCTTCTCCATTCTCCTCTCGGGATCTGGGCACACATGCACACACGTGTGGCCCAGGTTTAAGCCACCGGGTCCCGGACTCCAAACGTGATCAATTACATGGGAGTCCAGCGACATAGCCATTACGCCAACTACTGGTCCCAAGTAGTAACTCATCTTTACTAATCTGACATAGTTATTTTGATGTTGGCATTGCAGACTTTAGCATGTCATGTGTCAAGTGCTTACTTAGATTTTAGATCTTTTTTTTTTTTTTTTTTTTTTTTTAGTTTTCCATCAAGCCTTGTATAGTATCTTGCCTACACTGAGTTCTGAAAATGACAGTTACTGGGTGAATTATTTTTAACTGAAGTGAAGGCCTTATAGAGGAAATAGACTGGATATATCTTTGAAGTATCTGTAGAATTCAATGCATGGAGAGACCTTAAGGTGGGAGAGCAACATGAGAAAGTCAAAGCACCTACTGGGACCAGCAGTTAGTGTAATGGCTATGTCATTGGACTCCCATGTAGTTGACCACGGTTCGCGTCCTGGACTCGGTGGCTTAAATCTCATGCCGGGCACGTGTGCGTGTGTGCCCAAGATCTCGAGAGGAGAACGGAGGAGAAGGGATTGCAGTGTGGCCATCCCCCCTGGGGGGTGATTTCTAGCTTTCTGTCTCTCTGTCTCTCTCTGTCTGGCGAGCACATGCGCCATATAGCAAAAACCTCTCCAAAAAAAAGCACCTACTGCTAAAAGTAGTGTGTTTCAAACACATGAATTAAATGAAAAATGCCTGATGGACTGGCAGGCGGCATGTTGGTTGGGGACACTGGACTCCCACATGGCCAACTGTGGTTCAAGTCCCAGACCTGGTGGCTTGCTTTCTCCTTTCTGTGTCTCTATCTTTCACTCTGTTTCTCTCTGATCAAATTTAAATAAATAAATAAAGTTAAATAATTCTTTTTTTAAAAAAAAATGCCTGAACTAGAATGTGGCGGTACAAATAGAAACCTGAAAATTATAGAAACTTTGCCTCACATTCACATTTTTTGGGGGGAGGGAGGAGTTTTTGCTATAGGACATGTGCGCTCACCAGAAAGACAGAGACAGACAGAGAGATAGAAAGCGAAAAATCCCCCCTTAGGAGGGATGGCCATGCCGCAATCCCTTTTCCTCCATTCTCCTCTCAGGATCTTGGGCACTCACGCACACGCACCTGGCATGAGTTTAAGCCACTGGGTCTGGGACTTGAACCGTGGTCGACTACATAGGAGTCCAGCGACATAGCCATTACATCAACTGCTGGTCCCAACATGCACATTTTTTATATCTAACATGAGCAAGGTAGCTAGTGCTTGAATATTTGACACATGACACATTTTGTATAGAAAAACAGAAAAAAATACATCATAATTCCTATGCTTTTAAAAGTAAGGAAACAAAGTTGGCTTTTTTTCTTTTCTTTTTAATGGAGGGGCATGAAATAAAACATCTAATTTGTCGTGGCTTTTACTGAATGTAGTCGTTATATTTATGTTATCTGTCACTAGATGGAGTCCATGAGCCCAGGGAACTTTTGGTTGGACTTTAAAACTTTCCCTGTAATTCCTTTGCCTAGAAAAAAGAAAAAAAAAAAAAAAAAAAAGCTTTAAAATACTGACAAGTGAGTTGGAATGGCAGATTTTTTAATTTTCCTTTTTGAAGAATCATCAGCCTATAAAAGAATCTTTTCAATTCTTCATATTCCTGCCCTCCAAAAAAAGAAAAAAAAGAATTTGGAAAAGACTTTAAAACTATAGTTTACCATGAGTTCTAAATCCTTTCAGTATTAAGAATGTTATTGTTTTTAATTGACTTTATTATTGAATGTCGACTAAAAATTAAGTTGTCATCCTCTGTTCCGTCTGTTCCCTTACACTTCTATGCAAGGGCTTTAGATTTCTATCCGGTTATACATTTTCCCCTCACGAACTTGCTTTCAAATACTAGCAATTGCTGCATTGTTGCATTGCTTACTAAGTGTCAGTTCTTAGCATAGCACATTGCACAGCACATGCTGCATTTGCAAACCCTTCCATGGTAGGAGGCATAATGAGCAAAAGGCCAGGATAAGCCATTTTTCTTTATCAAAGCTGTCTGAAGGTAAGAAGCCTCCAGTTAATAATAGTGGTGCTGGTGAGTATTCCAGTCACAAGCTTCATTTTGGGAGGGGACCGGGCAGTGGGAAAAGAGCATATGAATACATGAAGTGGTTGCAGAAAGGATCTTGGGCACTTTCCAAGCCCCAGAGAGGATGCAGTTAATTAGCTCAATTAGCCTGAGTGCAAGACAACATGTGGGCAAGGTATGATCTAATTCCTTTTTTATGTCTTTCTGCCACAGCACGTGCCCTTACAGTCGGCCTCCCTTTGGCTATGGAAATTTTCCAAGTTCAATGCCAGAATGCCTTGGTTATTATGAAGACAGGTACCAAAAACATGAGGCTATGTTTTCAGCTTTAAATAGAGACTATCCTTTTAGAGACTACCCAGATGAACGCACACACAGTGAAGATTCCCGGAGCTGCGAGAGCATGGATGGGACTGCTTACTATAATAGTCATAGCCACAGTGGGGAAGAGTACTTAAGTCCCATGCCTCAGATGGACATGGGTGCGTTGGAGAATGTCTTCACAGCCCCGACATCAACTCCCTCTCGCATCCAGCAAGTCAACGTCACTGACAGTGATGAGGAGGAAGAAGAAAAAGTGCTCAGGAATTTATAATTTTAAAACAAATATGCACAGAAAATAAACATTTCTTAAAATATATTCTGGGTCAGTTGGTGTGAGAAAAAAAAAAAGCCTAGAATGTTTTGCTGAGAGTTTTCAGCCATGATTTGAGGAGTCAAAGCCAAATGCAATTTATGTCTTCATAAAATTTTGGTTAGTGAAATTGTAGTCCTGATGTTTCATCCTAGGGATATTTGAGATATGAAGCAGTTTATTTTTATGACTGAAAATTGCATCAGTATGTATTATTATTTTATCTTGGAATGCTCAAAATACTGAAGTTTCTCACAATTGTCTGTGAGGAGACAGGGAATATATATCTAGCATGACAAATGTGATTTGTATTTTATCTCAGGGTACATTTATTTTTCTTAAATGATTTTTTTGGTGTTTATAGATGTCAGTTGTTTTGCAATATTTTGAAAATATTTGATAACTTTTAGTAGAGAACTGGGACCCAGTTAATAAATTTAATTTACAGTAATAACCTGCTTTAAGTTAAAAATGTGTTTTAATAGCACTTGAGTAATTCCTTCAGATGACTTTAAACATTTCTGTTTCTAAACATTTTTATCATAATTTTGAATACCTTTTCCCATTTGGTATGCATTGTTCTACCTTTGTTATAACTAAATAAATATAGATAAAATTGTTTTTGTTGAATGTTTTCTGTTTGGGGGATAGAAATGAGCAAAATAAGTATTGTTCATTAAAGATTATTTTTCATACCACATACAGATATTTATTTTTAACTAATAGTCTCTAGAATTGCACAGATTCTACTTACTTGCACGAGACTTGACCTCTCATCAACAAAGATGTGTATATATTCTGTTGCACATTTCCAAACTCTGCACATGCATACAAGGGACGTCAGCACTCCCCCAAATGGAAGAGCTCTTCCAGCTGTGGTTCAGGTAGCTGTCCTGAAACCATGGGCTTATTTAATAGCAGGTAGAACTCATTTAATTCAGAGAACAAAACCCCCTACCTGTGATGTAAACTCTTGGTGAGTGCCCCTTTATGGCTGGAAAAGGCCTTGGTATGAAAGGATCAGGACCACCAGTTAGGATCATGATGAAAGATTTATCACAAGGCACAAAGTAAATTGATGATGAGAAATAGCGACAAATCAATACAATTTCCTCTCGATTATCTGTATAATTTATGCAACTTGAGATCTTGTTTCTTAAAACTGCTTGAACATTGTGTATGGAAACTTGTTCTAAGTATCCAACTTATTTTACTAAACCTGTATTTGTTTCTTAAACAAAGGTTGTTAATGTAATCCATTTTGTCAACCATGTACTTACTGTACAGAACATTTTCTCTTTCAATAAAAATGTGTTTATATTTTTTATTACTTCACACAATGCCATTTTGATGTGATCAAAGAGCAAAACTTGAATTTCTTGGTCAATAGTAAACATGTCACCTCACAACTGAACCAAAGCAGCATGTATCTACCTATTTGATGACTATACTGTGAAGGAAAATATATACAACAATTTTATCTATTTACCTCATCCCATTTTAATAGCATTTTATGATTAAACTGGCTTTCAATCAAAGACCTTATTCTTTTTTTTTTGGAGAGGTTTTTGCTATAGGGCGCGTGCGCTCGCCAGACAGACACAGAGAGACAGAGAGACAGAAAGAGAGAAATCACCCCCCGGGAAGGATGGTCACGCTGCAATGCCTTCTCCTCTGTTCTCCTCTCAGGATCTTGGGCACGCACGCACACGCAACCGGCGTGAGTTTTAAGCCACCGGGTCCGGGATGCGAACCGCAGTCGACTACGTGGGAGTCCAGTGACATAGCCATTACGTTAACTGCTGGTCCCAAGACCTTATTCTTACAAACAAATTGATTAGGGGCATCACTGTGTAAAGTAATGATGTGATACAGTGCATAGTCTAGTCTTTCTTAAGTCCATGTCTTCAGGATACACCTGTACCTCTGATTCCTTTCTCAATCTTTTCTTTTAATGACTAAAGTTGGGCAACTCTTTTATTTATTTATTTGGAGAAGTTTTTGCTATAGGGCGCGTGTGCTCACCAGAAAAACAGAGAAAGACAGAGAGACAGAAAGAGAGAAATCACCCCCCGGGGGGATGGCCATGCTGCAATCCCTTCTCCTCTGTTCTCCTCTCAGGATCTTTGGCACGCACGCACACGCACCTGGTGTGAATTTAAGCCACCAGGTCCGGGATCAAATTGCGATGGACTACATGGGAGTCCAGTAACATAGCCATTACACCAACTGCTGGTCCCAGGTTAGGCAACTCTTAATCTTCTTTCTCTTTTTCTTCAGTGCTGGAATTAGAAGCCAAGAGTTTAGTTAATAGATCTATAGCATAAATTGGGTTGGAAAATATGGATGTCTTTTATTTAGAAATGTACCCAATTGTAGGTGAGCATACCTAATGGCAAATGTCCAGATTTGCTCACTTATAGTCTTCAAATCACTGAACAAGCTCCACCCCATTGACAGTAATTCATTTGCCTCTCCAAGTCATCAAAGTGAAACTATATAAGCTTGAACTCACAAGTACTAATAGAAATCATTGCTTTTTCTTATCATAAATTGGAAGTAATGGTATTTTTTTTAAAAATAAGAATAGGTTCAAAGTGTGTTGAAGTGTCATTAGGTTTAGAAAGCCACTCAAACTGTTCTATATTTTGGACAAAGCTGCTCTAGCCATTTGCAAATAAAAACCAGTTTCACCACAAATAACAATGTTCAAGGAGCTAAGTTACCAAATTCAGAAAGGGAAGAGCAGTATTGCTTTATGTATGTTAGTTAGAACCCAAACCTTTTAACTATTCTGACAAACTTTGATCACAAAAGTTTGAAAACTACATGTCATCTCCCATGTCAGAGTATCAGTGTCCACTATCGTTGTAATGTCTCAAAGCCTTGCAGTAAAGAAGCGTGTTGAACCTATTTCAGTGTTTATTTACCATGAGACTCCTTTTATTGTTTTAATATAATGTCTGCTCACTTTTCCAGAATACCCTTTGGAAATGGTAATAAAATTATAGCTGGTGGCTTTGGTTTTAAAATTGTTGACTTCACATATTTTTTTTCTATTTATTACCTCAAATCCTTTACTGAAAGAAAACAATGGCTAAATACACTATTCTCTGCATTAAGGACCTAATAACTTAAAACATTTAAGAATTGAACTGTAGTTGTAAATTGCCATGGGCTATTCAACTGGCTTTTTATCTTTGGCCATCTTTTCTTTTTTTTACTTTTTTGAATTAATTTATTTTACATTCTTTCACTGAACATCACCACAGCATACCAAATGCATTTTTCCAGCCAGAATACACTGTAAAGTGGCTTAATCATACATGTTATCAACAAAAAATAATTTTGCATTTGTTTCTTGTGTATGTATTTTTTCTCCCCCTATTTCTCACCCTCTGCCATTTCTCATCCTCCTCCTACCCCATCTCTGGTATCTGTAGTTGCTTTCCATTCCTTTAGTCTTTCCCACATTGTATTGATTCACAAAGTATCTTAATTAAATATTTTCAATAGTAAATTCAGCCAGTATATACATATCAGTGAACAAAAGTTGGCCTTAGGCATGAAACTCTGTGGGTAGAATGAATATACTATAAAATAGCACATAGCTGAGGCTATCTAGTTTACTGTAGTTACTAAATAGGTATTTTTTAAATACATTTTTTTAATTTCAAGAAAGGCATTTTTAGCTTTAATAAATCAAAATTTTAAAAAATGTTAAAACTTTGCTTAATACTAAAGCAAGGAAACAAGTTAGGATTCTGTTGGAATCATAGGTACATGGACCCATCCACAACTCGAAAGATGATACTTTTTTCTTTCTTTTCTTTTTTTTTTTTTTTTTGGGGAGGTTTTTGCTTTAGGGCACGTGCGCCCACCAGAC